CTCTGCTGGAGAGCAAGTTTCAGAGTCTCTTCTGACATCCATTTTGGTCTTTTCCTTCTTTCTTGTCTTCTTAATGACTTTTTGCTTTCTTCCTGTTTGATGTCATCCCACAACTCTTCTGGTCTTTGGTCTTTAGTGTCTAAATCTGTTCTTGAGATCTTTACATTTAAGTGGGATATGTTTAAGGTCATATCTTGGCTCTCCAGGACTTGTTTCCATTTTCTTCAGCTTTTTTGCCTTAACTTGCATGGGAGCAACTGATGGACTGTTCCACAATCTGTCCCTGGCCTTGCTTTGACTGATAATATGGAGCTTTTCCACCGTCACTTTCCACAGATGTTGTAGTCAATTTGATTTCTGTGTATTTCATGTGGTGAGATCCATGTGTATAGTCATCTTTCATGTTGTTTAAAAAAGGTATCTTCAATAAATAAGCCATTGGTCTTGCAAGATTCTATCATGTGATCTCCAGCATCGTTTCTATCATCAAGGCCATGTTTCTCAATGTCCGATCCTTCCTCTTTGTTTCCAACTTTTGCATTCCAGTCTCACGTAATTATCAACACATCTTGATTGCATGTTTTGACATTTCAGACTGAAGAAGTTGGTAGAATTCTTCAATTTCACCATCAGTGGCTTTAGTGGTTGGTGTGTAAATTTGAATAATATTGGTATTAACTCGTCTTCCTTGCAGGTGTATGTATATTAGCCTATTGCAGACAGCATTTACTTCAAGGTGGGTCTGGATATGTTCTTTCTGATGATGAATGCAATGCCATTCCTCTTCAGTTTGTCATTCCTGGCATAGTAAACCGTGTGATTGTCAGCTTGAAAATGGCCAATACCGTACATTTCAGCTCACTAATGCCTAGGGTTTCAAAGTACTCTGTATTCACTTTTCTCACTAACATTTCTTTATTAGCCTTCTCTTCTTCCCCAAATAAGGCAGCATGCAATTTTATGATATTGGCCAAATGGAATTTCCCTCACACTGGTCTATTAACATATGTGCAAATAAATCTTTATTGACAGCTAATATTGATTATTTTTCAGCTAAACTAGGATTATGGCACAAAGTATTATCTGTGCTATAAACATCATGGGTTCTTCACAAAATTGGAAGGAGGAGAGAAACAAAGCAGAAAAAGCCCTATGGCCTGCAAACATGTCTTACAGAAGTACAGCTGAGCTCCAGATTTCCACAATGGATTTTGGAATGGGTTGACATTTGGCATACATTCACTGTGCTATTAGTAAAGCGCAGTTTTAAAAGAATGTCATTTAGAAATCATACTTGCTTGCTTGTTTTAAAAACCAATGGCTTCGTCAAAACTTGCAGTAATTTAAAAAATATATCTATTATGTGGCATAATTAGATCTAAGTTACCAGTGTTGATAGTTTGATAAATCATTGTACAAGCAAAAGGGATCTTCCCACCTTGGATTGTACTTTAGAACAAAGGGCACGGTATGCC